TGAGATTTAGGTCCCTATGGAACGCGTCGAGGTTGGTCTCCTGGAGGTAAAGCCATTGGTTCGAGAGTCCCGTGTCTAGGTCGGTCTCGAGTAGGGCCTTCGGGGGGTCGGCGGCACCTCGAGGGAGAGTAGCGGCGGTCCTCCTCGAAGGCCGAGGGCCGCTGGACGTCGAGTGGGAGTGTGACGGGACGTGGGGACAGCCGGGACTCGGAGAGGTGGTACTGAAGGACGAGACAGGCGAAGGAGGTGTTTCTCCGGGAGAGGCATGGCACACACTGGCAGCGGACGCCCCCCCTCCTCCGTCTCCTCCTCCTCCTCCCCTTCCCCCTCCCCCCTCCCCCTCCCTAAGGCCGTAAGGATCAATATCTCCATCTCTTCTGCGCAAACTCGGCTCTAAAGTTTCCAGATTGGGCGTGCTGGCCGCCAGGCGCGCGCGCGCGGACCTCGTGCTCGAGTAGAAGGCGCTGAGCCTCGACCTCAGGGCGTCCGAGGTCGAGGACGAGCTCGGGGGCGATGTCAAGGACGAGGTCGGAGGGGATGTTAGGGACGAGGTTGAAGTCAAGGAGGAGGTCGACGGAGCGTTCAAGGACGACCTCAGGCCCGGATGGGAGGTCAGGGAGGTCGAGGACGAGGTCAAGTGCGAGCTGACCCTCGACGCCCTCGGCGCCTCCTCCTCCGGGGACCCCGGGGGAGAGAATCCGGCCTCGTCGTGACCCCCGTTGACGGCCTCGGGGGCGGTCGAGGACGAGGTCAGGTTCGAGGCCGACGTCGAGTTCGAGGACGACGTCGGGTTCGAGGACAAGCTCGCCGACCTCGAGAAGTATTGCCGTCTCGCGTTCACCAACTTGGCCCTCTGGACGTGGTAGGACATAGGGCGCTGGGGGGGGAGGGGGGGGAGGGTTGGCAAGCGCTGGGCGGTGACGTCACGTGGGGAAGGTGTGACGTCACGTGGGGAAGGTGTGACGTCACGTGGGGACGGTGTGACGTCACGTGGGGAAGGTGTGACGTCACGTGGAGAAGGTGAGGGCGTGACGTCACGTGGGGAAGGTGTGACGTCACGTGGAGAAGGCGTGACATCACTCAGCGACGCCAGAACCTCATTGGTCAAGGACGACGTGACGTCACAACAAGACGACAACGACGACGACGAATCCACCACGTCACTTGGAGAATCAATGACGTCACCGCCCGACGAGGAAGCCCTCCCATTGGCCGACGAGACCATCACGTCACGCGAAGAAGCCCTCTGATTGGCCGAGACCTCCTCGTCACGCGAAGACGCCCTCTCATTGGCCGACGAAGAGGAGGAGGCGGAGCCGGTGACCTCGCGTTCTTTGCTCTGATTGGCTCTTCGCTTGCTGCCCCACCGGAGGAAGGCGTGGCTTGGCCTCTTGGCCTCCGGAGACGATAAGGGCGAAGAGGACGACGAACACGTGAGGGATTTCGGCTTTGGGGGGATTTTGGGCTTGGTCGCCGCCCCCCCACCGCCGCGGGAGGGCTTCAGGCGCTGCCAGAGGGTGGGCGGGGTCTGTGTGGAAGTGGGCGGGGTCTGTGTGGAAGTGGGCGGGGTCTGTGTGGAAGTGGGCGGGGCTTGGGATGGAGGGGGCGTGGTTTGGGGTGGAGGGGGCGGGACTTGGGGTGGAGGGGGCGTGGCTTGGGATGGAGGGGGCGTGGTTTGGGGTAGAGTGGGCGGGGCTTGTGATGAAATGGGCGGAGCTTGGCTTGGGGGAGGCGTGGTTTGTGCAGAAAGGGGCGTGGTTTGTGCAGAAAGAGGCGTGGTTTGTGCAGAAAGGGGCGTGGTTTGACTTGAGGGAGGCGTGGTCTGCACAGAAAGGGGCGTGTCCAGCGGCGTGACTCTCTGGACTCTCGGGCTCCTGCTTTCCACTATCTTTACTCTCGTTATCGTGTTTTCTCCTTCGCTTTCTCTTCCTCCTTCTCCTCCTCCTCCGTTTCTTTCGCATTGCTCCCTATCTCCCTCGTTCGTTCCTTTTTGGTTTTGTTTTTCCTCCTCTTCTTCTTCTTCTTCTCTCTCTTTCCTTCCTCCCTTTTCCTCCTCTTCTTCTTCTCTCTCTCTCCTTCCTCCCTTTTCCTCTTCTTCCTCGTCTTCGAAATAACTCTCTCGCCAGTTCACTTGTTTCACCGAGGGGCTGAAAGTCACGTGATGTGGCACTGGGGCATTGGGTGCCATGTTTTGGGGCACTGGGGCATTCGGTGCCCTGTTTGGGGGCACTTCGTCCGGTATTTTGGCAACGAACACTTCCACACGCCCGTAGGATCGCGTCTTGACCCTCGTGGGCGGTGCCTCCTTAGGCATGGCGACGGGCGTGGCACTATCTTGGGCACTCGCTATGCTCAGGGTACGCGTGGGCACCTCGGGAGCGGCGGCGGCGTGGCTCCTCCCTCCGCGGCGGTCAGTGGGCAACTGAGGGGAGTGCCAAGGACGGGTACTGCTATTAATATCCGTGACGTCAGGATGCCTCGACGTCATAGTTTGACCGCTAGGGGCTTCACCATTGGTCCGTTCGGGTGGGAATTGGCGTGGATCGGTGACGTCATCGGGGCTATCGGCGCTATGATTGGCTGAGGGCTCCTCACCTGCGTATTTATTAGCTATAACTTCGACAACCTCCTCTTCTGCGTTCTGATTGGTCCAGATGATGCTAGCTTCGTCCTCATTGGTCAGAATCTCCAGCACCTCGAGTTGATTGGTCAACTGCACGTTTTCTGCGTTCTGATTGGCCAGTTGCACCTGCTCTGCGATCTGATTGGCTAATTCAAACTCTCCTGGAAGCTGATTGGCCAATTCAAACTCTCCTGGACGCTGATTGGCTAATTCAAACTCTCCTTGAAGCTGATTGGCCAATTCAAACTCTCCTGGACGCTGATTGGCTGATTCAAACTCTCCTGGAAGCTGATTGGCGAAATCCACCAGCTCTGCGTTCCTATTGGCCAGAACCAACCCAACGTCTCTCTGATTGGCTAATCCACCGCTATCTTCGCTCTGATTGGCTAACCGCTCCCTATCTTCGCTCTGATTGGCTAACCGCTCCCTATCTGCGCTCTGATTGGCTAACCGCTCCCTATCTTCGCTCTGATTGGCTAACCGCTCCCTATCTTCGCTCTGATTGGCTAACCGCTCCCTACCCTCGCTCTGATTGGTCAGAACGGGACTTTTCAAACCCTCTTGCGTCATAAACTCCTCCGCCAAGTCGATGCTGATTGGCTGGGGCCTCTGACGTCGCTGAGCTTGGCTGTTGTGATTGGCCAATCCCTTCTCGTTGAAACTGCGGTGGCGGCGAGGGATTTTGACCTCTGTTGACCTCTCGTGTTCTCGGGTCACGTGACGGGGGAGGTCAGAGCAGGAGCTGGTGCGAGGGAGGGAAGAGAGGTCAGTTTTCGTCGGTTTTCTTGTTATTCCTTTCTTTATTGCGTCTTTCTCTGTTTCTCCTTCTTCTGTTTGGGAAGAGAGGTCAGTTTTCGTCGGTTCTCTTGTTATTCCTTTCTTTATTGCGTCTTTCTCTGTTTCTCCTTCTTCTGTTTGGGAAGAGAGGTCAGGTCTCAGGGTCTCTCTTGTTATTCCTTTCTTTATTGCGTCTTTCTCTGTTTCTCCTTCTTCTTCGGATGTGATTTTCTCTCCTATTCCCATGTTTATTGCGGTTATGTCTATTCCTCTTTCGTCTCTTCGTCTCTCTTCCCAGTTTATTGGCGATTTTCCCTCTTCCCTTTCGCTTCTGAGGTTTTTTATCGTCGTTGTTTCTATTTCTCCTTCGATTATCACCAGTTTTTCTCCAATTCCCACGTTTAGCGCCATTCTGCCACTTCCTTCTTCGTTCAATCCCAATTTTTCCATGACGCTTATCTCCGTCTCTCTATCTCCCTCCTTTATCACTATTTCGCTTCCTCCTACGTTCATCACTGTTTCTCTAGTTCCTTTTATCACTGTTTCACTATCTCCTCTCTTTATCACCGTTTCACTATCTACTCTTTTCATCACTGTTTCACTATCTACTCTTTTCATCACATTTTCACTATCTCCTTTCATCACATTTTCACTATCTCCTCTTTTTATCACATTTTCACTTCCTCTCATGTTTATCACTGTTCCTCTATCTCCCTCCTTTATCAGCCTTTGTCCGCCAATTCTGAAAGTCATATTCGCTTCAAACACGTCTTCTTCTATGTCTGAATTATCGCTTTCTCTCTTACTTCCCTCTTTCGTTCTCTCGGCGCTCTTTTTCCTCCTTTTTCTCTTCTTCCTCTTCTTCTTCTGCTCTTTCTCCCTCTTTGTTTCCTCTTCTTCCTCTTCGTCGTAAGAGGAATGAGCGAAAGTGTGATTATTGTCGTCTGTTTCTTCGTCTCCTTCGTAATGCGATTCGAAGGCGATTCTCGGCGTTTCCTCCTCTTCCTCCATTCGTCGGTTTCTTTCTGTCTCCCTTTCGGTCCTTGGCGTTTGTCTCTCTTCCTCCATTCGTCGGTCTTTCTCCATTTTCTCTATCTCCCTTTCGTTCCTTGGCGTTTGTCTCTCTTTTCCTTCTTCCTCTTCCTCCATTCGTCGGTCTTTCTCCATTTTCTCTATCTCCCTTTCGTTCCTTGGCGTTAGTCTCCTCTCCGCCTCTTCCTCTATTCGTAGTTGCCATCTTCCGGTCTCTCTCTCTTCCCATCTTTCGTCCTCTTTCTCGCTCCATTCCACAGGGAGGCCGAAAAGGTCTAGATTTTGGGCCGAGTCGAATTTTTGGGCCAAATTTTGGTTCGGCTCGAAATTTTGGGCCAAATTTTGGTTCGGCTCGAAATTTTGGGCCAAATTTTGGTTCGGCTCGAAATTTTGGGCCAAATTTTGGTTCACTTCGAAATTTTGGGCCAAATTTTGGTTCGGCTCGAAATTTTGGGCCAAATTTTGGATCGACTCGAAATTTTGGGCCAAATTTTGGTTCAACTCGAAATTTTGGGCCAAAATTTCGGCCGAATTTTGGTTCGAGTCGAAAATTTTCGGCTCATTTCGAATTCCAATTTCGGCGCCATCTTGTCTCTCCCTCCCGCGTCCGAATCCGTCGCTGAACGGCTCCGACGTCGCCGAGGTGTTGAAGACCGCGTCCGAAACCTCGTTCGTCAGCGACCACCCGCGCCTCTCCTGCGACGCTACGCCCAAACCGAAGCCCAAGCCAGGGTCGACGAGGCTTCCGGACGCGGGCGCGACCACGACTTCGCAGCTTTCCAGACTCTCGAAGTCGAAGACGTCGTCGTCGGCGGGGCTTCCGAACGCGCCCAGCATCATCTTCTTCGAATCGTCCGATTTCTCAACCGATGGCTTCGATCCGGGTTTCGAAACGCCCGCAGTCGCTCGTTCGGATGCGTCGTGGGCGTCGTGATGGGCGTCGTGGGCGTGATGGGCGTCGCCGCATGCGGTCTTCCTCCCCAACGGCGGTCCTGCGTCGCCTGCGGTTCGACTGAAACTGAACGAAGAGGAAGAAGGATTTTGGAGACAGGAAGCGAAGCCAGAGCCATTAACCGGATGCGGGACGACCTCGTTAGAAGGAATCCTCTTCTCTTCTCGTTTATTCTCCTCCTCTTCTTCTTCTTCTTCTTTCTTCTTCTCCTCTTTCGTTGGTTCTGGAAGGTGAGGGATAATGGTGTTAATATTTTAATTGGTTTTGAGATTCGATAAAGATGATTGGGGGGGGAGGGGGAAGGGAGGGTTGAATGTCCGTTGTAACGGGGTTTGGGTTAAAGTTCCCACGATAGAAAACGGGGGATAATTGGTTTTTGTTTGATGGGAAACTAAGATATATATATATATATTTTTTAAATTTCGGATTTATTTCCTACTCTCTCTTATATTTCTTGTTTTCTCTCTCTCTTCCTCTCTCTTTGTATATATATATATATATATATATATATATATCTTTATATCTCCATCACTCTCGCTCTCTCTCTCTCTATCTCTCTCTCTCTCCCTCCCTGACCCCCCCCCCCCTCCTCTCTCTCTCTGTCTCTCTGTCCTTCCCTCCCTGTCTCCCCCCCTTCTCTCTCTCTCTCTCTCTCTGACTGGCTAGTTTAAAAGAGAGAGAGAGAGAGAGAGAGAGAGAGAGAGAGAGAGAGAGAGAGAGAGAGAGAGAGAGAGAGAGAGAGAGAGAGAGAGAGAGAGAGGGGGGGGGGAGAAAGAGAGAGAGAGAAAGAGAGAGAGAGAGAAAGAGAGAGAGAGGAGAGAGAGAGAGAGAAGAGAGAGAGAGAGAGAGAGAAGAGAGAGGAGAGAATTATAGAGAGAGTAGAATGCGAGAGAGAGAGAATGAGAGAAGAGAGAAAAGAGAGGGAAGAAAAGGAGGGAAGAGAGAGAAAGCGAAGAGAGGAGAAAGCGAGAGAAAGAGAGAGGAGAGAGAGAGAGAGAGAGAGAGAGAGAGGAGAGAGAGAAGAGAGAGAGAGAGAGAGAAAGAGAGAGAGAACGAGAGAGAGAGAAAGAGAGAGAGAAAGAGAGAGAGGAGAAAGAGATAGGAGAGAGAGAGAGAGAGAGAGAGAAAGAGAGAGAGAGAGAAGAGAGTACAGAAAGAAAGTAGAGAGAGAAAGAGAGAGAGAGAAGGAAAGAGAGAGAGAAAGATAGAGAGAGAGAGAGAATGAGAGAGAGTAATGAAGAGAGAAGAGAGAGGAGAGAGAGAGAGAGAGAGAGAGAGAGAGAGAGAGAGATAGAGAGAGAGGAACAACAAAAAAGAAGAAAGAGCGAA